AGGAAATTATTTTAAGTGGTACTAGAAAATATTACTGAACTGTAAGAAATATTTCCAGACTAAAGAGACCCACCAAGTTGTCAGCGCAATGAATGATAAAAGACACACACACATAGGGGGCACCCGGCTGGCTAAGTTGGCAGAGCATGAGACTCTTGACCTCAGGGTCATGAGTTCAAGCCCCACATCGGGTGTAGAGCTTACATTAAAAAAAAAAAAAAAAGGACAGACACATAGAATTTTAGAACATATAGGATATAGGATAAGGAGAATCTCTTAGAAACACCCTCCCAATCCCACCCCCCCCCCAAAAAAAGAGGTCGCATACACAGGGTGTCAGAAAGGCATGGTACTTCTAAAAAGCAAGACCAAAAACTAGGATTCAATATAATAATGCCTTAAAATACTGAAATTTGTAATCTAGAGTTCTCTCTTTTGCAAAATATCAATCCAGCTTTTGGATATAGTAAAGGCATTTTCAGTCATGCAAGGTCACAAAAGTATTCTGAGGACTTACGGAGAATGTGTTACACCAAAAGGAAGGGATTGGCCACACAAAGGAACACTTGAGATTTATAAGACCGGGCTCAGATAAAGGAGGTAAACAAAAGGAAGACTCAGGCAACCAGTGAAGAGAAGCCCCAGACCGATAGCTGTGTCTGATCTGGGCAGCATCAATAAGAACAGGAGGATGAGGGTTCAAAAAAAAGATCTCCAAGGAAAAAATTGAATGAACTGAACACCTCATGTGTCTGGCATATGACAAGTTTTAAAGTACAACCAGACTATTTCAAGCTGAATTAATGATGGGAATATAAAATATATGTAAACAAACAGAAAAAAATGAAGCAATGATTAACTTCAGGAAAAACATAAATGAAAAGAAAATGTAGTCAGAATATACTACACGCTCACCAGTAAATACCATTTTACCCAGCCACAATAATTCACATAATTGTGCTTAAACGGTCATACAGTCATATAGTGCTTAAATAGTTGTATAGTTAATACTGTAGGACAAGTGGGTGCTGCTGTATATATATTGGGGGGTGGGGAGGCCAGAGCTAAGATCTTAAGCTAAATCATCTCCCATGATGGGAAGTCATTATATAACATTTAAAATAAAAAAGCCAACAGGTAAGTCTAGATGAGAAGAAGGTGGCCAAAGCTGAAAAGAGTTGGAACGTGCACCCTAGCAAGCAAGGGATATGGGAAATAGGTCAGAATTATTTTTTTCATTTTAAGTGTATTTTCAAAAATTATGCATATGTATAACTTTGCTAAAAAACAAATTTAATTTAAGAAGAAATAGGACTATGAAAAAAGGAATTAGAGACAGTCCAGACCACTCTTCAAGGCATGCTTCAAAGCATTCCATAGTAAACACTCCCACTGCCACCTACCCCGCACAAAGAACATCCTGACAGCTTTTTAGCACCCTCTCTTAAATCAGGACAAGAAGCCAAGGGTCATTAGACATTTGAGAAAACTAACATGAAATACAGGTTTAATAAACAAAAAGAATCAAAAATGGGGAGAAGTGGGGAACCAGAGACTATGCTATAGAAATACAAGAAGAAAACAAAAAACTTCTAGTAATATCCTCACCAAGATAATAGAAGATACTGTATGCATGAATCAAGAACAGAATACTATTTCTTAAAAAGGAATAAAAAGAGAAAGTGGGGGGAGGAGAGGGAAAGAGAGGGGAAAGAAGGTACGTCCAGAAAACAAAATTAATTAAATTTAAAAATAAATAGGATGCCAGTAATTAAAAAGAAATGTAATAGCAGAACTGGGAAGATACAATTGAGACTATCACCCAGAAGAATAGAAGAAAAAGACATACGAAAATAGGGCGTGGGGTGCATATTAGAAAAGGAAGGAATAAATTCATGAAGTCTAACATCCAGCCAAGACATTTAGAAGGAAAGGAACAGCAACAGAAATAGAAATGAAAAAACAACTCAAGAAAACTTACCAAAATTACAAAGCAGGAGTTTCACTGTGAGGACTCACCCAGAACACTGGAGGAAAACAGACATAGACCAAGGAAAAAATTCCAAATAAAAGGACAAAGAGAAGACCCTACATGCTTCCTGACGGTGGGGACAGGTAATCAAGAATCAGGAAGACATGGGATTGTAAGAGCAGTATCACGAGTTACAACACAACAGAGCGATGTCTCCAGATTTTTTAGAGACAATATTTCCAACCTAAATTCCAAGCTCAGCCACAAACTCACCAAATCATGAGGGCAGGATAAAGCTATCTTTCGACATGCAAGGTCTTAGGAAATTCATGTCTCACATACCCTTTTTCAGGAAGCTACTAGAAGACAAACTCCAACAGGAGGGGTAAACCAAGAAGGAAAATGATATGAGGGTCACACAAGGGCTCCTACCCAAGAGGGAAACCAAGGAGTCTGTGGGGTGGTGGCCAAGGGCCCTCCCAACATGGGACCGGGCCGGGCAGCAGGTGGCAAGAGCAGCAACCAGGGCAGATGGAAGTAGGTCAGAGGCCCTGGCAGGGATGTCTTAAGATGTCGAGAGTGATAGCAAACCCGATGTGTTGGTTGTATTGTAAGAGAAAAAGGAGTCATGGCAAACAATACAGGACAGCTTTGAACAACATTTTCCAGGCACCACATTATAGATACTAATTGTAACCTAACCAACTCCCGGCTGACTATACTGCAGAAGGTATGGGAAGGGGCCTTGTGTATGGGTTAGGAGAGGGGTGAAAAGAACGAAAGCCAGATAGATAATGCTAAAAACTCGGGAAGAAAATTAAGAAGTGTCAATACCATCAATAATAAACAGCAATTGCTTATTTATTGTTATTTACAAGGACCCCTCTCCATGTTACTTGGAGAAATAGATACCAGCACCAAAAGAAAAACCAAAGGAGTTGGAAGTGGAGCCCTAAGGAATGGGCAACTGGTCTGTGTGTGGCCGGGGAGCTGCTGCATCTCTGTAATAAGCCATACAGAACTGTAGGATTCATGTGTACATCTGGCTTCAATAAAAACAAGAACCAAATGTTTATGTTCTATAGAAATTCAAGAATGCTCATCCTTGTAGTATGTAAAACCATCCACTGGAAAACAAGGATTTTGCAGTCGGGAGTCCCGGACTCAGCAAACATCCTTCCTTCTGCCTAACACCTAAACCAGAAATACTAGCAGAGAAGAAATGACTGATCTTAGCCACTGGTCGGAGTCAGTGTCTCTAGGGAAACCAAAATAATCCTGAATTCAGGCAAACACGGTACCATCTATACCACAATGCCATCTGAAAGCTGCATTTCTATACCCACAGAAAAAACTGACACCTCTTTCACGAACAATGAAGGGGAAGGGCCAGAAGGAGAAAAGCACATTGTCTGATTGAGTACATCTCACAACTTGGCCGGTGGATCGGTGCCACAGGAATCAATCAGAAGGCCTGTTCCCCTACCCACCGCCACCTTCTGTTATTCAAATTTCCACCAGCGATCGATCGCTGAAACTAGGACTCCAGCTTCCAGATATTCATAAATCTCTGGGAATCGACAAGGAACAGGAAGATGGAGAGGCCGCTCCGCAGCAGATGTTGCTGAGAATAACTTAAGATGACGGAAGGAGAGCTCTGTCACCTGGCTCTCCGACTCAAAGATGACATCTCCTCTCCTCCTGAGCCTCTTGCAGAGAGACCATTACAAACTGCTAGAGTTGGTTAATTACCACTTACTATGCCATAAGCAAACAAAAATAAAGTCACTGATCATTTGGCCCGAGTTTCCATTTCTTCATCTATAAAACGTAAAAAAATTGTGCTCCCACCAGTTAGAACTATTTTGAACGTTAAACGAGACCATACACATTCTAAGATCAGTGACTGGAGGCTTAAGAAGCTCTCGGTTATTCTAACTGCAGGAGCCTCTTTAAAATCTAATGGGGGGGGCACCTGGTGGCTCAGTGGGTTGGGCCTCTGCTTTTGGCTCAGGTATGATCTCAGGGTCCTGGGATGAGCCCCACATTGTGCTCTCTGATCAGCGGGGACCCTGCTCCCCGCCCCCCTTTCTCTGCCTGCCTGTCTCTGCCTACTTGTGATCTCTGTCAAACAAATAAAATCTTTAAAATCGAGTGACCCAGGATGGGGGTGGAGAGGGAGAGGCATCTGGCCAACGTTAGAAGACAGAAGGAAGGAACCACTGTCGCTCCAGGCTGTATCCCGCCTGAGGCATTTAATTCGGCGCTGGGCACCAGCGACCACCTCCGGGCCTCTTATGCTGAGACCCCAGCTCGGCGACCGTCTGGCCAGGAGACAAGGTGCTGGGCCCTGGCTGAATCAAGACACCCAGCACCCGTGAGCCTTGCTGCAACGGCTGCTCCAGCCCTCCACCGCGGCAGCCTTTGGAAAAGGATGCTCGCTTGGGCTCCGTGCACCGGCAAGAAGCGGAGAGCACCCAGCCCTCACGAGGAATTTTCTCCCACCAACCAGGAGTTACGCAACAGCCTGCGTAAACAAATTCAAAATATTCTTTAGAGACAAGGCAGCGGGTCAGGGAGTTAACACAGCAAACAGCGGCCCCATTCATAAGACTGAAAGCCTGGCTCCGTGGTTCTTAACCTCTCCCGGAGTAGGTCCTCTTTGAGAATCCGGTGAAAGCTGGGCTCCTCTACGAAAAAAAAATGGGCGCTTAGATATAAATAGATGGGATTTCAGAGCGCAGTGAAGCAACCACGGGCCTCGGGTGAAGACACGGAGCTCAGCAGCGCTTCAGCTGAATTCCTGTAACTGGCTCAACCCGGAGCCGTCCTATTATGGAAATAAAGGGTGGGAGGGCAAGAGCGGGGCTGACAGCATCCTTATTTTGTCAAGGGACGTGGATTCTTCATCTACCAGGAAAAAAAGGGCGGGGGGGGGGGGGTTGCCCGGAGCGCAGCGAGACCCGGAGCGGGGCAGCCCGAAGCAGGCCTCTCGCAGCGCCCTCGCTGCCCACTCCCGGCCCGGTACCTGGCGGAGCCGCCGCCGCCGCCGCCTCGTCCGCGCCCTCCGCGTCCCGGGCCTCCTCGGCCTCCGCCGCCTCCGCGCCCCGCTCCTCAGCCGGCCCGCGCGCCCGCCGCTCCGGCCCCTCCCGCGCCGCGGGCTCCGCGGGCGGTGAGGCGGGGGCGCCCTGGGGCGCGGGGCCCCCGGCGCCCGACGACGACGCCGACGACGCCGAGTCGTCCGAGGCTCCGGCCGGGCCCCAGTCGTCCCAGAGCCAGGGCGCGTGCGCCTGCTCCAGCAGCCGGCGGCCCAGGCGGTAGTGCAGCAGCTCGCGGTAGCACGGCCCGTACTCGTCCCAGCGCGGCTCCCGGTAGCGCTTCATGTACTCGCTCTTCACCCCGCTCCCCGGGGCCATGGTGCCCGCCGCCGGCTGGAGTGCGCGCCGCCGCCGCCGCCTACGGAACAGGGGACACGACACAGAGGCCCGCCCCGCCCCTCCCCTCCCGCCGGCCCGGCCCGCCGCGACGTTTAAACCCGGAGCCCCGCCCGCACGGGGCGGGACGCGGGCGGGGGCGGTGGTGAGGGGGCGGAGGGAGCGGGCGGGCGGCCACGGGAAGGGGCGGGCCCCGGGAGGGCCCTGCAGGTGGCGTCGCGTCCTGTGACCCCGTCCGGAGAGCCCCGGCGGGGCACGGGGCGGGAGGAGGGGGCTGGGGGTCGGGGGCTACCTCGGGGGACGGCTCGGGAGGTGGGACGCCAGAGGCTGCGGGCTCGGGGGACAGGGCCGCGGGAGGCCGGGGCCCGGAGGGCGCAGGAGCGAGGCCAAGCAGGGGCGGGACTAGGGGGTCCCCGAGGCGCCCTCCCTGCTTACCTCCTGGTGCCGCGCCGGGCTGGCCTGCGTCTCCCTTCCCGTACTCCGCGCGCCGCGCGCTGCAGCTCCCAGCCACCCGGTCTCCCCGGCGCCTTCCTCCCGAGCAAGATGTCGCCGACGGCACGGCGGCCCGCGTCCCTGCGGCAGGCGGCAGGCGAAGGCGCCGCCTCAGTCCCCGGGAGCAGACGCCTCCCCCGCGCGCTCCCGGTCCCGGCCCCCGCCCCGCTGCTTGGGGGTGGCTGCTTCAGTGCCTAGCGCGAGGCGCGGGGACACAGCGCCTCCGGCAGCCCCGGGCTGCATGGCCCCCGGCCCCGGCCCACCTGTCCGAGGCGCCCGCGCGCCCGTGTCCCCAGACGCCGCCATCCCAGGCGCCCGCCGCCGCAGGAGGCCTCGGTTAGGGGGTGGAGTTGCTGCCCTGTCCCGGGAGAGGTGCGTCCCCTCCCAAGACCCGCGACCCTCTGCGCTCCCTCCTGACGCACCTGCGCCCCTAGCCTTTACAGAAACGAGCCCACGCGTTGGCTCTCGGCTTCCCTTCTGTGTTCACAGCACGTTACTCTGGCTTTCACCTCTTTTTACGTTTTACTACAATTCCTTTCCGGTCGATACCCCAAACATTTTTTAAACTTCATGAAAACCTCCAACCCACCCTCTCAGAGACCTTTGTACAAAAAAGGCCTTAACAGAGTCAGTTGCCTTGTGCGAACGTATACAATGTTGCTGTAGTCGTCACGGTTTCGAGAGTGGCCCCACGCAGGTTCTTACCCTCTATTGAGAGGAGCCTTGATACATTCTTTACGAAAAGATTTGAAAGAACCTTTGGAAAATCAAAGTAACAGTTGAAAAGCAGGCCTCCGCCAGGAGTGAGTTCCCCTGTTCTGGCTTCCATACTGGGATTCCAGCCCCCACCCCCCACCCCTTCACCTAACATGTGGGTGGTGGTGGTGGTGATTTTTTTTCCACCTACGATTTTTGAGTTTTGCTTCTGCCTTTGTGTTCTGTCCCAGCCCCTCATCGTAGCTGAAGGATCTAGAGGTAGATACTGCCCAAGTGGGACCCGTCAGACTGTCCTGAGAACTTGAAGTCAGCAGTGCCGGAGTCACTACCACTGGGTGGTTAATGGCACTTCTCCGGACGCACACTCCATGACCCCCACCGTTGATGTCCCCACAGTGGCCCTGACTTCTCCCCTCACCCCCAACTTTACCTTTTGCTCCTTGGGATACCTCCAGAAACTTTCTAATGCTTTTCATTTTGCTTAAGCTGTCCCAGTTAGTTTCAGATGGGTCGCAACCAAAGAGAATTTTAACAAATACATTAGTAATCTGGAGGGAATGACGAGCTGCAGTTACATGAAACATACAGAACACAATGTGTTTCAGTTGGCCTTGGCCGCGTAATTAACCACCCCAAATCTTGGTGGCTTAAAACAATTAAGATTTATTATTTCTCTTAATTCTGTGGGGTCACCAGGCAATTTCTCTGCTGGTTTCACATGGCTGGTTTAGAGTCACTTACACAATAGCATTCAGCCGGAGGGAGAGCCATCCTAGAAGGCTCCAGAGGGCCTCACATGCCTCCCTGGTCATGGACTGCCTTGGTGGCCCCACTATGGCCTCATCCTCCAGGGGGCTAGACTGGCTTTTTCACCTGGTCCTCTTTTGAGAGGGTAATGACAGAAGCTGCACGGCCTGGGAAGGTCATAAGCATCTTTTGTGGTGCATACTAAGATTCAAACCACAAGGCCAGCCAGATTCAGAGAGGGAGAGAGAGATGAACTCCACCATACATGAGAGGAACAGCCGCACTTACCTTGCAAAGAGGCGTGAGTTCTGGAGGGAGAAATTTGTGATCAAACCTTACAGTCACATATCTACACACACACACACAATGTGTAAGGTAGTATACCATTTTTTGTATAACTAAAAATAGAATGAAGAACAATTTGTTTTACTTTTACCTGTTTTGCACAATTAAGGGTATTACTTTCATTCTAATTTTTTTAAGTGTTATTATTCATCAGGGCTCATCTACTTGGAGGTGACAAAGACTAATTCAACCAGCTTAAACAGAAAGGATATTTAGGGGTGACGGGGTGGCTCAGTAGGTGAACCGTCTGCCTTCAGCTGCGTCTGCCTTCAGCTCGGGTCATGATCCTGGGGTCCTGGGATCAAGAGCTTTTCCCTTGGCCTCTGCCACTCCCCCTGCTTGTGCTCCCTCTCCCTCCTCCCATCAAATAAATAAATAAGTCTTTAAAAGAAAGAAAGAAAGAAAGAAAGAAAGAAAGAAAGAAAGAAAGAAAGAGAGAGAAGGGAAGGATATTTAAGGACTCTAGCAGAACTAAATCCAGTGACCCAGTCAATGTCATTGGGATTCTATTTCTTTCTGTCTTTGAGCTCTGCTTTCCTCGTGGGGCTGGCTCCTGTGTTTCCCACTGTAAATGGACGTCTCCTACATAGCTGAGGAAGTACCCTTGTGGCCCCAAGCTTATGATGTCTTAGCAGAGGACCACCAGCAGCAAGAGAGAACTTCTTGGTATTCCAATTAGAGAAAGATTCTTCAGTCACAGGCTGAGCTGTTGCTAGGTGTAGGAAGTGATACGATTGGCCAAGCCTGGGTTACCGTGCCCAGCCCTGTAGATGGCGATAGGGTGGCAGGCTGAGAGTGACAGCCCCATGATAAGCACAGGAGGAGCGGTAGGCAGACAAAACTGCATGTGCTCCTGGGTATGTTTGTCTTTGTGTCTAAGAACAGGATGAGAGCTTTCTAATTTGACAGCACCTGCAAGGGGGTGGGGGGGAGCTGGAAGGTAGTTGATCATAAGTAAGGTACAGCTGTTAGGAAATTGACTACAATCATAAGCAGTATCTATCAAATTGTATTTCTCCATCAGGGAAGGCTAACATTCCTTCTAAAGAACCCTCTGTTCATATAGCACTGAGGGTTGCTAGTGGCCGGGGGCGGGGGGTGCGGAGTGTCCATTAGTTCTGCAGGTGGAATTGGGACCACGGAGCAGAGATGACAAGATATAACTGTGGCAAACGTCATGGACTTGGAGCTGGTTTCTTACACAAGAGGGAAATCTTAGGAACGGCCTGAGAAGCGCACAGAAGAAATAGGGAGAGTGGAATGTGAGTGGCATCGAGGAGAAACCCCAAGGCAGGCTGCAGGCTCCTGGACAGACAGGAGAGGGAAGATGTGCTCCCTCGACTTTGGGAGAGGGGAGGCTTCTGTGAGAGGCAGCCCTGGGAGAGCCTCTCCCCCCAGGGGACTGGCGAGCCAATAGAAAGGAATACGGAACTCCTGGAAGATTATAGGAAAATAATCAGTATTTGCTATATTGGCATACAGATTCCATGTAAGACCTGCTGCTGCGGGATCCTCACAAAAGGGGAGGGCTTCAGGCTGTTCTCCACCTTCAGGGGTGCACCCCGAATTCTCTGAGCTCCCCACTTCCCAGAGCCCTGCCACCTAAAGCCTCAGGTGCTATGACCCTCAGGGTGCCACCCACTCCTGTGTTAATAACCTTGTCCTGAGCCAGGGGAGGCTGTCTTCCTAAGGCTTCCTCCATCTCATTCTTCCTTTCTTCTGGAATGTTCTTCCCATGTCATATGCTCTCCTCTCAACTCTCCTGATCCTCCCCAACTCTCCTAATCCTCCCCTCCGCCCCCTCTCCAAACACAAACGTAAGTACTCAGATGTCCCGTCCGCTCTGCCGTCTTTTATAACTCCACCTCCCAGGGGAGAAGCTACATGTGCTAGAGATTTTCCCCAGCCTCCCTTGCAGCCAGAGTGCAGCTGTGACGCCCTAAACTCTGATCATCAGACCCTGCTGTCCCCAGGCTCGGCATCAGGGTTTTTACTGTTGCAAAGAAGCAAGGACCAGGAGGCTCTCTCTTTGGCTGAAATGCTGAGTTCAAGCCGGAGTTTCTGGGGCAGGCAGTGGCCGTGGTTCTCAGAGAGATGCTGGCATCCAGAGGTCAAGGTGTCTGGGACACCAGCCACATACCTCGCTCTCCTGGGGAGAGTGGCAGTCTCCGTGGTGGTTCCTCCTCGCAGAGCTCCAAGCCTGTTTTTTACAGCCCTTCTACAGATTCTGGAAGCCACCCAGGCAAGTTTTAAATAGGTGTGTTTTCTTCTAAAATTAGCAGAGCTGATTTCTCTGATGAACAGTTAAGCACTTTGTTTAATAACACCGGACAGTCAGGACTCCTTCCTCTTCTCTGCGAGGGTTCCCAGATGCCTTGGCAGCTTCCAATTCCTCCTTGTCCTTGTTCGAACTAAGGATTCCCCATTCTTCCCTCGCCTGTCTCATCCTGCTGTCTCTGAACAAGGATCCCAGAGCAATGATGACTTCTTTCGGGCATTGACGCCCCCACGTCCTGCCCCTCTCTGCAGGGCCAAACCACCTTATTGCCTACTCTCTCCCTGTGCATAGATCCACTGTGTGCTTCGTGTTCAGATCTGCCATCTTGCTCCCCCACCCCCAACCAAGTCCTCCTAAATTCCCAGTTCCTGCTGACAGCATTTTCATTCTCCCACTCTCAGAGTCAAAATGTCAGAGTCATCTTCGAGACTGCAAATCACTTGCTGGGGTGACCTGTCGATCACACAGTGGCTCACATGTCCCTCCTCTCATCATCGTATCATCCCAGTTGGGGGCACACTCACAAGCACCAAGCCCCCTTCGGGGCCCCGCAGAGAGCAAGGACCTGAGCAAATAAGGATCTACACACCGGGGAGTTACTCTACCCACAGGGCCTGCCCCAGTCCTCAGCTGAAGGGGAAGCGAGGCCTGTCCCCTGGAGGGAAGGAGCTGTCAGAGCTGCAGACTAATCTAGATTCTAAATAAGAGCACAGAAAAATAACATTTAAACAAAATCATCAAGTAGACCTCAGGACTGTTGAACCGCCTTCTCTCCCTCCTTGTTTGCAATGAACATAGCCAGGAATTATCATCTACAAAGCTACAGGCAGATAGTTCCTTCCATAGGAACAAGATCTAGACCAAGCCTTTGTTGGACTGGATTATTCCTGGTAGTCATATCCT